TAATTGTTTATATAGATTTGTTTTATATATACATTTTTCACATTTGTATTCATGTATACAAAATGAAATCAGGTTTGTATTTTTAGTGTTTTCTAATCTTTTAGCTGTTAGACCATCATTATCAGTATTTTATTATTTTCCATTCCACTCTCTTTCCAAAAGCACACACTGCTTTAATGCAGAATCTGTGGGAATTTTTCAGAAGGAAGTATACAAATACACAAACTAATATGTACAAGGATGTTATCATATTCGTATTTATAAAAAGATCAAAAATCAGAAACTAAAGGCAGACATGTTGAAAGAATGAAAAAAATGGATATACATTTAGCCTATCTCTAATTGAAAAAGCCAGTTTACAAAGTGGTATGATTTTGTTTTTGTCTAAAATATAATTTAAATATCATTTTAATGTAATACCTTCACAGTTTTTGTCATATGACATATCTACCTTACTGTCACTCAATGTTGTTTTAAAATCAACTATCTAAATTTTTTATTTAGCTTTTTTGTAAAAAATATTATAAATTAAACCATGCAAACGTTTATTTTTCATGCATGTTAAAATAACTTGATAACCATTAAAATAGAAAAACTTCATATTTGTCTGATCTAAAATCGTTCCTCATGCCCTTAGTGGAATTCATATCAAGCTTAAATTATAGTGAAACCTGTGAGAGCCGGAATTTGATGGGACTGCCTTGTTTTTCTGGGTCTTGCAAGTTTTCTGCCTTTGACAGGGTACAGTCTTACCACTTTTTTATCTCTTGTTTTAGTGGAAAATATTTGAATTTTCCTTCTCTGACAGGTTTCCACCTTACACAGGTTCCGGCTTCTGCAGGTTTTTCTGTATTTTAGAGAAAATTTCAGAGGGGTGTATACAAAAATTGTAACCATGTAAACACTGCCAGTAATTTTATTTTTCTTTCTCCTTTTCTGTGTTTTTTAATTTTTTTAAATAAATCTAGATAAATTAGTCTCAATTTTACGGCACACATTTGAGTTTTGTGTCTTCCATGAACTCTCAATATAGTTAATTATCTTAGGAAGATTAGCTCCTGAAGTTATTTTGCCTTGATTTTTGTGGTAGCATGAAAATTCTTACTGTGATAGGAATTATTCTCTTCTAAAAATTAAGATGTTATTTAATAACAAGTTTCTTATTGTGAAACATGGGAAGAATTTTTACTCATAGTAGTAATGGCTGTTTAAAATTAGACTCATAACTAAAAGTTTTGTTTTATTCTTTCACAGGAATTGAGACCTGATGTAGTAACTAAGTCTGCTCTTGGTGATGACATAAACTTTGAAAAAATCTGCAAAAAGGTATATCTGCAACTGATTGTTTTATGAAAAATTCTTCATTTTTTTTTTGTGTGTCATCGTTTTCCTTGAACACTTATCAAGAAACCAATTATTATTAATATATTGTGATTTTCCTACTTGAGCTTCAGAATTGCCACTGAAAAATATTTTATGGTAATTTATGAATTTTGCTTTGCTGTGATATCACACCTTCAAGGTCCTTAAAGGTATGTTGGACTTACTGTGTCATTGCGTATGTTAGATAACAATTAGTCTATTAATCTTAACAGTTAAAACAAAAAATCTTTATTATTAATCTTTTCAAAGCATTTTCATGAATATGAATTCCTGTATTATCCCTGTGAAAGATTAGTTTTATCCCTTTTTTACAAATGAAGCTCAAGAAGAGTTGCATGAGATACCACTTTTATATGGCAAAGTCAGAACTTTTAACCAGATCATCTGCTCTTTGGAGTTAACCATGCTACGTCTCCTTTACTGTATCTCCTTTTTCATTGCCACTCACGTTGCTAATATTTATACAAGTCAATTCCACTTTAGAATAGTTTTTGGATTCATTGATTTTTCTGTTAACTGCTTTTCTGTTTTCACTTTCATTGATTTCTCATCTGTATTGTTTCTTTCCATTGTTCTGCTTTGTATTTAATTTGTTCTTTTCTAGTTTCCTAATGTGGAAGTTTAAATTACTGGTTTTAGATCTTTCTTATTTTCTACATGAGCATTTAATGCTACAGATTTCCCCTTAAGCACTATTTTAGCTGCATCCCGTAAGTTTTGATATATTGTATTTTTCTTTTCTTTAAGTTTAAAATATTTATAATTTCCCTTAGAACTAGTTCTTTGACCCATGATTTATTTAGAAGTGTGCTATATAATTTCCAAACAGGGGTTTTCCAGTTATCTTTTTATTAATTATTTTCTTGTTTAATTTTGTTATGATCTGAAAGCATACTTTTTGTGTTTTTTTTTTTTTTTTTAAATTTGTTAAGATTTGTGTCATGACCAAGGATATGGTTTATCTTGGTAAAATGTGTATTGTGAAAGAATACTTGGTGGAGATACTGTATAGTTTTTTACTCTTTTCCTCCTTTCTAACAAACCTTATCATCAGTTCACTCATATTAATAGTAGTTCATGGCTGTAACTATTAATTACCCTCACAGAGATATGAGAGGTTGTTGAACATTAAAATCTCAAGAGTTGAGAATAGCTATTTGAGGGAAAATTCAAGCATCAAAGTAGTTAAACTGGATGGTATTTAAGGTCTTTTCCAGTCTTAAAATGTACTGATTCTGCATTTATGTATACTAGCACTTATTCTTTACAATTGATTGATACTGCTGTTGTTAACTGCTATTGAGTAGACTCTGACTTATGGCGACCTTATGTACAACAGAATGAAACATTGCCCAGCACTGCATCATCCTCACAATCACCAGCATGTTCGAGTCCGTCGTTGTGGCTGTTGTGCCAGTCCATCTCATTGAGGATCTCCCATACCTTTCTTGGTGCTCTGCTTCACCAAACTTGATGTCCTCTTCTAGCAATTGATCCCTCCTGATGGCATGCCCAAAGCAAGCAAATCAGACAATGTTCTATTGTGATCCACAGGGTTTCATTAACTAATTTTAGAAAGTAGATCTCCAGGCCTTTCTTCCTAGTCTGTCTTAATCTGGAAGCTCTTCTGAAATCTGTCCATCACGGATGACCCTCCTGGTATTTGGAATACTCATGATGGCATAGATTCCGGCCTCATGGCACCATACAAACCATCACAGTAAGACAAGCTGGCAGGCAAGTTTTGATAATTGATACTAGGCATGTTAAATTTTAAAGTATCTATTGTAACTTGGAGTTAGAAAACCAAAAAGGAAGAATATGGTCAGCATTTCTCAATCTGAAAGAACTGAAGAAAAAATTCAAGCCTCAAGATGCAATATTGAAGGATTCTATAGGGAAAATATTAAATGACTTCGGAAGCATCAAAAGAAGATGGAAGGAATACAGAGAGTCACTGTACCAAAAAGAATTGGTTGACATTCAGCCATTTCAAGAGGTAGCATAAGATCAAGAACTAGTAGTACTGAAGGAAGATGTCCAAGCTGCACTGAAGGCATTGGCAAAAAGTAAGGCTCCAGGAATTGACTGAATGCCAGTTGCGATGTCTCAACAAACGGATTCAGCACTGGAAGTGCTCACTCATCTCTGCCAAGAAATTTGGAAGACAGCTACCTGACCAACTGACTGGAAAAGATGCGTATTTGTGCCTATTCCAAAGAAAGGAGATCCAACAATGAAGAAATTATTGAACAATATCATTAATATCACACAGAGTAAAATTTTGCTGAAGGTCGTTCAAAAGTGATCGCAGCAGTACGTCAATAGGGAACTGCCAGAAATTCAAGATGGGTTTGTAAGAAGACGTGGAACGAGAGATATCATTGCTGATGTCAGATAGATCTTAGCTGAAATCAGAGAATACCAGAAAGATCTTTACCTGCATTTTACTGACTATGCAAAGGCATTCAACCATGTGGATCATAACAAATTAGGGATAACATTGTGAAGAGTAGGAATTCCAGAACACTTAATTTTGCCCATGAGGAACCTGTACATGAACCAAGAGGCAGTCGTTCGAACAGAACAAGGAGATACTGCCTGGTTCAAAGTCAGGAAAAGGTGTGTATCAGGGTTGTATCCTTTCACCATACTTACTCAGTCGGTATGCTAAGCAAATAACCCAAGAGGCTGGACTGTATGAAGAAGAACAGGGCACGAGGGTTGGAGGAAGACTCATTAACAGCCTGCAATACGCAGATGACACAACCTTGCGTGCCAAAAGTGAAGAGAATTTGAAGCACTTACTGATGATGATCAAAGACTACAGCCTTCAGTATGGATTACACCTCAACATAAAGAAAACAAAAATCCTCACAACTGCACCAGTAAGCAACATCATGATAAATAAAGCAGAAATTGAAGTTTGTCAAGGATTTCATTTTACTTGGATCCACAGTCAACACCCACGGAAGCAGCAGTCAAGAAATCAGAAGACACATTGCATTGGGCAAATCTGCTGCAAAAGACATCTTTAAAGTGTTGGAAAGCAAAGATGTCACCTTGAAAACTAAAGTGGGTCTGACGCAAGCCATGATGTTTTCAATTGCTTCATATGCATGCTAAAGCTAGATGATGAATAAAGAAGACCGAGGAAGAACTGACGCCTTTGAATTATGGTGTTGGCCAAGTCAGACTTCCCTCCTAAGAATCATTTCAGAGTCCTTGCCAGCTGCTTGATTTCAGCTGTTTCGTTGCTATTTTATTTATGATTTCCTTCCATTGTATCCAGGGTTTTCGGTATCAAAGTGAGAAAATAAAACCTCTAAAACAAAAGTAAGATTAGCAGCAAAATGTCATGCAGAAACAAGTGATTATTTTTTAATCTGTCACAGGAAGGGAGCTCAGTGAAAGATAATGAAATAGGAAGTAAGTTTTTACATAGAGCTCTACATATTTGGGGCTGTTTGACCACCCAAAGAGAGCAGAACAAATTGTGTAACATTTTACAGCTAGCCTAGTATTTCCATATACATTCTTATCTTAACTTTCTTAACAGTCCTCTCAGATAGAAAGTGTGCATGGTTGTGTAGTAATGTCTTCATTTTTCAAATGACGAAAGGAGGACGAAAGGTTAATTAGCTTGCTAACGTTTATATGATAAATGTTTAGAGTAGGGACTAGAACTCTGACATTATTGCCAGAATTCCATGAACTTTCCAGTTCATCAGCATCTGTTGCATGCATAGCACTCAGCTGGCACTATGTAGGATATGAAGGAAATAGAAGACACAGTATATTTTCTAGAGAATATGTAATCTAGTAGAAAATAAAAGACAGTTATATAAACCAGCTAGAGGATATAAGATGAAGCAAATATTTTTTAACATCTACCAATTGTCTGGTCTGACACACGTTAGGTCATTTACATATGTTACCTTTCAGGGAAAGTGATAATAGCCTCATTTACAGATGAGACAACAGTCCCAGAAAAGTAAAAAAAAAAAAAATTACCCATAGTCAATCAGTAGAAAATGGCAGGTCCAAGATCTAAACCCAAGTCTCTGCCTACAAAACCAAAGGTTCAAACGAAAGAGGAGCCCTGATGGTGCAGTGGTTAAGAGTATGGCTGCTAACCAAAAGGTCGGCAGTTTGAATCCACCAGCCATTCCTTAGAAACCCTGTAGGGCAGTTCTGCTCTGTCCTGTAGGGTCTTTATGAGTCGGAATCTACTCAAGGGCAAAAGATTTGTTTTTTGTTTTGTTACGTGTATACAAGACTTCATTTTAGAATCATGGCATCACAAGACAAGAGTTCAACAAAAACTGAAAAGCCTCCTGGTCCCCGAACTGTGGACTCAGCCTTTTGGTCAAATAGCTGATAAGAAGGTTCTGTCTTTTTTGATGAGTCAAGTGCTCTGTATTCAACATAGGACAAGAAAAATGTAAATGATGACAAAACATTAATATTTCCAAACCATTCATCTGTTTTTATCTTTTGAACACTGAATCATATAACTGATTTGGCCCTCTCCTCCTATTACCTGTTAAAAACTCTCATGCCGGAAATGTGCTTAATCCACAGACGTATGCAGGCTTTTGAGACATGCATGTTGGACACCACCCTCATTATATGCTCCATTTTAATTAAAGCTTAAACAGAATCAGATTGGCCTAGTTATTAACACATCCACCAACATCCACATATTCTTCCACGTGATGAGTTAATTATTAGGTGACCACCATCTAATTAGGAAGTATACTGCCGGAAGTCCCCGATATGCTTTCTCCCAGTCATACCTCTCCCCCACCAAAGTAACGACTGTCTTGACCTCTAACATCTTGATTAGTTTCATCTGTTTTTGAACTTTACATAAATGGAATTGTACACTGTGTATTCCGTTGTATCTGTCTTTATTTACTCAGTAGTGTTTTTGAAATTCT